CGTACTATATCGTCGTAGGAGCTGTTGAAAAAATTTGTAGGATTTGGTGACTCATATTTCGGCCTCAATCGAAACGTTAGTACTTATAGGCAAAAATATGATTTGTTCTGGCTTCGTTGTACTTTTGTAATAATTTAACTTACAAAACTGATTTTCGTAGTACTATTCGAAACATAATTCTTATTGTTGCTTGCAGACGTTTGTAGTAGTACTACACTTATTTAATAAGCAGCGTTTGAGATATATTTATTAGTACTAATTAATTAAGCTATAGTATTTATTTGCGTCAGATAAAGGTGCACAATTTATTATTCGAAAACTTTTAAAATGTGAATATAGTGGCTTCCCACCATCCCACCCCACTTTACCATGTACACCACTCCGCCGCCGAAAAAAAAAGGATCGTATTCCTTTGTATTCGCGCGCGTAGTGTACGACCTTGAGAGATTGTGCGCACTTTCCAACACGATATGTAGCACACATCAAACAAAATAAAAGCAGCGTTTGCGATTGAATTAGCGCGGAGGCAAGTGGATAAACAAGAACACGAAACACGGAGGAGCACCGGGGCACAATATGTGCACGATGGGGTAGAGGAAAGAACACGAAGCACGGAAGGCCACGGACGTTGAAAGAGGACTAAATCAATGAAGGCAGTTAGCGATTCTGAAAAGCACGTACCGCGGACGAGCATGCTACCATGAAAACTTGGAGAGGCAAGAATATGATGGGAACGTACGGATCACGGAAAGTAACTGAAGTAATGACACCCCAACATGCTGAAAAACACGGGCCACGGAAACGGTAAGATGCACGGAAAGCAATTCTCCCATAACACCACGGTAGAACATGAAGCACAGACGATGAACCTAACACGAAGCCACGGGAGAGCATAAGCGGGAAATCACCGAGCTTTGGAGCACCTATTAGGGTAGAATCGAAGCTCACGGAGACCCACAGCACGATACCACGGTAGCTAGCGATCGCCCAGACGACAGACCAACCCCGCCACCAGAAGTTAGTACGATAGCACGAACTATGCCACTAAACATGGGAGAACGCAGCCGCGGAGCTACAGCCTGAAAATCATCGAGCCGCGGAGATCAATACCAGTGTTGAACCTGAGCTTACCGAGCCACGGAGGTCAGTAGTAGATTAGAACTCGATTGCACGGACGGCGGACCAGCCAGGAGATACACGGGGTGCTCGGGGTGACCACGATTGCACACCGTGGAGCACGATGCCATTGTGAAACACGATAACACGGGCAACGCAGATGCACTACGCGGGCACAATACCGTATACGGCAAAACCACATCGCGCTTCCACGATAGCGGGATAACGCGGTCAATGGAACCTCACCAGGAGAGCACGATACACGGGCGACGGAACAACACGACTGCGTGGAGGCACGAAACCACGGAATAGCACATTTTGGCAAGCGTACCGGCGATTGGAGGGCAACGGCCACGAAAGTCTACGTACTACGAAACTGGTGCAGCCTACATAAACGTTTGAGAACAGGAAATATGTAGCAGCCACGAAAAACGCAATACTAAAGAGCATGAATCCAAAAGAGAGAGCGCATAACCAATAAGCAGCGTGTGCCACGGGTGAGCAGGGAACAACGAAGCCAGGAAGAGCACGGAAGAGCATGGGCCGTTGAAGGACATAACATCAAAACTGTAGTACGGGGTAGCGGCAACGCTCCAAACCACAATATTATATGGGGCCGGATGCGACTACTGAAAGATAAGTGGTTGACTTCACGAAGCCACGACGTACTGGGGTGAACGACGCTCTCAAAGCACGCGACACCAAGAAGCACCTTAAGTTGCGGCCACCTGATCTCCAACAAACCATACCACTCCGCCGCGTAGCGGCGGCGAACGGCTAGTCTTACCCCCCTAGTGGAGTCTGGTGTCCGTCTGTCCGTCCGAGGGTAGGGTTCTAAAATGTAACGCAAATACGCGCGTTCTAAGCTAAGTATATTGTGTGGCGTTTGTAGGCATGCTATTTGAAGTGCAGGTGATTCAGGGATAGCCGACAATAATAAAGAGACTGTGTCAAGATGACTACATGTAAAGTGTTTTCTTAAGCATCGTAAGTAAGGTCTAGGGGGTCAGTCTTTTGTCGAAATAATTGCACGGCTTACTGGGAACTCAGCATTTTGTAGCGACTGGTCTACATGAAACCCAGATTTATTAAATTTAAGAAGTCGATTTAGGCACATGGGGGTTCAGAGTTTTTGGAATAATTATCCCGCCGAAGTTAAGCGAAGGCGGGAAGGCAAACATCTACTGTAGAAAAAAACCTATATTACCGCCGCGTAGCGACGGCGCTCGGCTAGTTCTACCTTAATTAGGTCACTTCGCTCTCTTTTGAATAAAGAGGGGACCAGTGAGCTGCCGTTCACTGAGAGTTTGTGTACTCTCGGAAGCTAACTTCCTCTAGCGCAAGGTGCTGTGTGACCCCGTCACCCTATCGTGTACATGTTTTATATCACAGTGCTGGTCACCCAGGCAGTCACAATGAACTCTGAGTTCAAGCGAAAGCTTGTAAGCCTAGGAGAAGGAGGACAAGACAATAAGGAATCCAGTGAGGATCTTGCGTCGGTGACCGGAACCTTCAGGCTCATTGCCAACCTCACAGGCTTACTGAGATGGCAGCAGTCTTGGTACTCGGACACTGGGTCCTCAATACGTTCGTGACCATGTTGGGCTGAGTATTGTCACACGGACGATGGCCAGTGCAGCTCACTCGTTTTGGACGTTTACAGTGATCTTCGCTGTCGTGTTTGTATCTTTTGTGGTTGCTGGAACGGTGCTCTTCAATTCTTAACAATAACAAATACCGAAAGCACTTTTCAGCTTCCTTATCAAGACTCAAAGACAATCAATTTCATCCTCAGCCAGAATGCCGTGGACGGATATGTACGTCATCGTCGCCAGACCCTTGCATCGCTGATGAACAGAAGGAAATGCCACCTCCAACGATCGCCGTACATGACGCACTCAATGTTTTGTGGCACGATTTGCATCACGCTTGTGATCTGAGACGAATCGCTATGGATCTCTTTTCCTTTGCAATATTCATCACCGCGCTCTCCGTTCAAGTCCCTTCACGTACAATGTATACACAGAGTCACGCCGTCTTGACCACCCTAGCAACTTCGGGATATGACACGATTGCCGACGCTTCTCCCGGCAAGTTTCATAACATCGAATCGATCCCAGAGATGACTCAACGGCACATTTGTACCCCCAGTGTTAGTGACTGAGGACGCGTACAGTGAAATATTGCCTGAAACCGAGTGGGGTCGCATTGCAATGTACAACCAGGTGATAGGAGGCGTCAGCTTCGAGGTCACTCAGATGCTCAAACACGATTGCAAAGCGGAAAAATTTCTTCGGTCTCTATACGAGACTGCTACGACCGAGACAACACGTTCGTCCAAGAATTCCGGATACCATACAACTACACCACTGCAGAGGCTGTTGCACTCCTGGAGAAGAAAGGAAGCTGGCTCAACGATTCGACCAAAGAGCTGCTTATCACCGTTTCCACTCTAAACAGCAAAATTCCGGGTTGCGTGGTTACAACTCTAAAGCTCGATTTTAAACGCGAAGGCTACATAAAACCGAGATTCATAACTACGCGGACACTTGTCGATCACTTCCCAAACACACGCACAATCGCGCTGGACATTTTCGTGGTTATATGGCTCTCTCCGTGGATGCTCGTATTGATAATATCTGGATACGTTATCAGAAACTACAAAAGAAGTCGCCACGAACCTGGAGAAAATGGGATTTTGACAGTGATTCGAAAATGCATCTTCCCAGACGACTGGCCGGCGATCGATGTGCTTCGAGGGCCTGTGGTGCATGCCTTTTATATTACTGTGGTCATCGCCCAGTTAGAGATCTCGGATACCGTATCCCAGCAGAAACTCACCAATCTCCAAGATGGAAATTCCACAGGGGACGAGGCACTGACGCCTCTCATCGACTCACTCGAGCATGTCGCCCGTTATTCAGTGTTGATGCGACTGCTTGCAGCTGCTTTGTTCATCCAAGGCCTTCGAGTCCTCAACACATTTCGCAACCAAATTGGGCGAAGTATCCTTAGTCGCTCGGTTCAAAAAGCGCTCTGCTGGCGTGGAGCCTTCTCAGTGACCTTCTTTGTGATTTTTATGGCATTTGCGGTGTCCGGAGCTACTTTTTGGTAATCGCGTTCACGATTCTCTTCCTTGTTGATATCCATGACGACTTGTGTCAATATGTATTATGCTGGGTTCGACTTTGAGGTCACTAAGGATATCCGCTACTTGGTTGCCTTTTATTGGAGCTTCATGGCTCTGGAGTCTTTCGTGATGCCGAATATTGTATTGGCAATAGTAATCGACGCCTGCAACGTGGAAAGAATCAAGACCAAATGGTGGAGATGTCGACGCGTTCTTGTCAATTTGTTTCAAAAAATTATATCCAAAACTGTTGATCATTGTGTACCAAAGTGCGAAACCAAGGTGTTTTCCGGGGCCAAATCCGATCTAAGATGCTCCGAAGTGAGCTAAGGAACAAGTTGGAAAGCTCGGAATGGACACCCGATACAGTTCTTATATCGGAAAAATGTGGTCAATTGTTCCTCGAGATTGATTGTGAAAACACGATGACGTATCTCGTTGCGGAGATCTGCAAGCACAGCAAGCCACACAATGATAACGACATGAAAGACGCGGTATCCTTGATGCCAGTATCTCCTACCAAGGCCAAGAGCGACAAGGACACTGGTGTTTCCACACTAACAACTGACACTAGCAGTCGGTCGATCTCGCATGGGCGGCGTCGAACAGCAAATGGAGCAGCTCAACGTGTCCCTGAAACAGGAAATTGACTTGTTTATCGATAAGATGAGATAGTCAGTAAGGGGGCATCAGTTTACAACATTTTCTTCTTTTTTACCATTGAAAAGATCTGTACATTACATGTTGAAGTTTTCTACAGTTGCGATGGTCTGGAAATGGTTTCCACGAGATCTGCCAAGGTCATGGACGGCTTTGAGCGGTTCCGAAAGCGTCGTTGCAGTTTAGTTGCTAGACGGTTGAGAGCCATGACGTTGATGAGAACGAAAATCTTGTCTTGCGGGTACACGATCGTATCTGAGGACGGACATGTGTACACGTATGGGTATGGTGCGCCTCCAGGACCGCCCTTTGCACGCAGCAAGCCAATCGGTAGCGTATGCGCCACACCTGATGTCATGTACTCAAAGAGCTCTCCATACAACAACTTCTGTTCGCGGAGCCCTTTCGGCACGTCGTACAGCACGAAGCAGCTTTTACCATCGAGAATCTTGCGGATGAACATGTTGAGTGACGGATTAAAGAAACTTTGGATCAACAAGTCATCTGCAACGTACGAAGGGAACAGCGCTCCGTTCATAAAGCGTTCCTGGAAGAACGTCTCGCTGTCGTCGCCATTGTAAAGACTCGCGATCGTTGGTCCAGTACCGCTGTCTGTTTCGCCTCCATACGTACTCACTTGTTGCGCTGCGGTTTTCAGACTTCCGAGGAAAAAAGTATTCACAGCAGAAAATGCGTGATTGACCACTTTAGCCTTGCGTTGTATCCAGTTGTTCTTCTTGGTGACAGTCGACGCTCGGCTAAATTGAGCGCTCTCACGAACACCCGAGGACAGCGAAGCACGATAGCTCGACACGTGCGACTTGACGTCGTATTCGCCGTTGTTCTCATCCATGAAATCACCTCCTTGCAGTCTCCGCGACGAGCCGAAACTCGACACGGGATCCAAGAAGCGGTTGTTGTTGACATCTCGGAGTTCGATGATCGTAAAGATCTTATTACGTTGCAGTGCTGAGTTGACTAGAATCGCGTTAAAGATGGCTTTCGAGTCGTCGTATCCAGCTTCATTGCCTTGAGCGAGCACGACAATAGACGACGCCGTGTAGATCCCAGCAGCAGAAAGGACATGGTGGTTCTGAGGCGAGCCGTGGACATGGTACACCTCACCGAAGTCTCTCAGTTGAAGCCACGAAACGAAGTCAAAAGTGCCAGCATCTACAATAACAACGGGGACAATTCGTTCGATGTGTGGAGCTCGCAAGGGTCGTAAGAAATTCACCAACCGAGAAACAGAGCGCTGTCCTCCACTCTCGTTGCCAATGTTGCTACAGACGACAATGTGGCCACCAGCAGAGAGCAAGTCTCGAGAAGGCGAAGACGGGATCTGAGACGGATCGTCATTGGCAGCACACCGCATAATGTACTCCCGAATATCGCTGGGAATTCTTCTTTCAACGTTGTGTTGCGCTTGACGAGCTCTACTTAGAAGGTTCCCGCGACTCTGTAGTAGTACCATGTTCATGGATAAGGCAGCGACACTGCTCATAGTCGGCGTACCAGCGAATGGTTCAAGAGAGCTGATAGACTCAGCGATCAAATACGCTTTGGTGCTTGGTGTAATACGATACCAACGACCAGGATTGAACGCGATATCTCCATCCGACTCCACAGCGATGAGAAGTACCAGACCATTCGACTGACGATGGATGTGCATCGTGGCTTGAATGAAGTTCATCCCGTGGAAATGTCTCGTCAGACAACACGAGTAGATTTCGTTAGCAGCGCCAGAAATGTACTCAGAGACCCAAGGTTTCAATAGATGAGCTTGGTCCGGCGCCACTTCCGGGATCTCTCCGCTGCGACTTGTGATCAAATTGGACACTACTGTTGACAGACCGGGACATCGACAGCTGAGACCCATTAACCCCAAGCGAATTTCATCTGCACAAACCAGGTTTTCCTTGCTTAACCCGGTGGCTTCCAGAAGCGTTCGGTTGTCAGAGTTGGCCAGCATTGCAAACAGCTGAGTGTGTTCCTGTTTCTGCTGGGATACCGACAAAACTCGCAGCACTGTAGCTGCGTCTTCTTTGTTGCCATCATCCGAGTATTTATTCGGTAAGAAGAACACAGCCATCGCTCGATCCAGCTGAGCGTTCATCAAGTCGGTCTCTCGTAGTGGGGAGCCGTAGACAAGGAACACGCGCTTGTGATATCGAGGATTCTGCTCTACAAACTCCACCACTTCTCGCTGGTACGAAGCATTTTCTCCAGCCTTGTCGAACTGCATCAGCACAACAATGTGAGTCTCACGGATTAAACTTCCTCCGCGATGCATCCACTTTGAGACGAGAGGCTTGATATCTCGTTTTTTGGCTTGTTTCCCGCTGACTTCTCCTTCTTCCATCGCAGTATACGCTTCATGAATACTGCCATACCGAGCGTGATTCTTCAAAGGAATCTCGCAACGAGAATGAGAGGCTGTCGTTGAACTCTGACCAGCGATTGGCTTAGCAACTTCATCATCGCTATCGTCACTGTCGCTGTCATGACCTTGGAATGCCTCTTCATGATCAGGATGGAAGAACTCGCGAATAAAATCCTTAGTTTGTGCAACCGACGGATTCCCTGTTACTAGAACATGCACGGTATTTCTTGAGCCATCATATTTCACAAGCGTTCCCCGTTGATCTCCGTAAAGCGTCATAAAGGCAGCCGACTCGTTCGCGAATGTGTAGATACCGAACACGATGATCACACAAACTGTAAGTTGTCCTAAGACCGTATGAGGTGAGAAATCGCCGTAACCCACAGTCGAGACAGTCACGAACATGAAGTAAATGGACGAGAAGAAGCTCCACGTTTCGTCACAGTTGGGATACTCGTCGGTGCCTTCGCTCGTAGCTCTGAGGATCGTCTCGGTGCCGTCTTTATTGCTGCATTCGTACACATGAAGCAGGAAACTGTTGGTGTGTGGCAGCTCTCCAAGCTGCTCGAGCGAGAACAAAACTGCAGCGAAGAAGAAGACAAGGCACAGCGCCTTAAATACCACGAGTAACACCTGCGAGAAGAAGGTTTTGTTCGGGTATCGTGCGAACAAATGATCCACTACCACATAGCCCACATAGGACCGGATGAAGCCAAAATCCAACCACGATCGAAGTCGCTTGGCCCCCACTACGATTGTCTGGAACGAGATGATAAAGTGCGCTACCACCGACAGTAAGTCGAAAAGATTATGCAGCTGCAAGACGAACGTCACTCTACAGAAAAAACAGTTAGCATTAAAAAGCAACTTAAGAGTATTCACAACTTTTGACTCACTTGTTCTTGGCGGCTAACCATCGAACACTGTATCCGACACCCGTGGCGATGAGAAAGAGCGACTCGATGGACCACGACGAGAAACTCACACTCAACGATCCACCCCTTACAACTTCAAGAACAAATTATTAGCATAACGTGAAACAGCAGAAGAGGCTGACAAAGTACCACGTACTCCAATTGATGCAGACATAGAAGCTGGTGACAAGTTGAACCAGATAATTCTGCAAAACAACACGAGTTAACAGATACTGACACATTACATTTCCTTAACGCTAGTACTCCTCCTTACCACGACATTGGTGAGCGGCGAGTCGCAGATTTTACGCAGTCGCTCGACGTATTTGAGCGAAGCCAGTTCGAGCCACTCGTACACGATAGAGAGCGCGATTACAGGCATTTGGATGAGCAGCCAGTAGCGGACTTGGTCCCAAATAAGGTACCACGACGCCGTATAGCAGCCAGCAGAGTCGTCCGTGATAGAACAAGCGGGGGCGATCGCCGCTATCACGTCCGTCATGGTCGGGAAATCGTGGACTGGTCTCACGAGCCTTTTATAATGGTACAGTACTGCCCGAATTTCACCAACAGTAGCAACGGCTGTTCTCTAACCCTAAAATTTGTGGTAATAGACTCGTATGCTCTGGCTTCAACGTTGGATCACTTTTACGTTATTGGTTAGGTAGAATAGGATACAGCACTGCTTGAGTAAACGGTGAGTGTGGACTCTGGGTCGTTAATTCCACGTTGATCTCCGTTCCTGTCCGCGATTCGTTTTGCTTGTCTTCGTTGATGCTGTTTGCGGGTCGTCGAGTAGATTGAGTCTCTCGCCACGCAGCTTCTTGGAACGACATTTGTTCACGGTGATACCCACGGACAGCAGCAGCTAAGCGACTGGGGCTAATAGCGGGATCACCGCCGTGGCTGTCACTTTCTTCTTCGTCGAGGGAAATATCGTCACTGTCGGAGTCGTCTTCATTGGGATACGGTAGTGGACTATTGGTTGATCCAGTGGCACGTAAAACTTCCATTCCAGCTCGAACGAAGTTGCGGTTGTAGCGTAGAGTACTGGTGCTTGTGCTATTGGGTGAGGATTGACGGGGTATTGGGAGACGGATAGGGCTACGACCAGATTGTCGTGCACTTTGAGGGGCAGAATCGGCAGATTCTACCCGTTCTTCGTATCGTGTATCGAGTTGCAAGTGATGGAGCTGAGGTCGTTTTTTGGCGTTCATCTTAGGTGGTACTGGTTTACGTACGTGGGGATTCTGAGTGGCCGGAGGCCGAGGAGATGATGAGTGGCTAGGAGACTGTTCTCCGAAGTATGGGGACCTTGCAGGAGACACCAGTACATTCTGCTTAGTACCAAACTCGTTCACGTGGTAAATTATTTGCGACGGCGACCCCGCTCCACCAGTTTTGTCATCAAGCAGCGGAAGTGTAGAAGTCCCGGCCTCACTAGTGGTGGACGCATGGCTCCGCCTTCCAGGATGTCGCCGTCTGCTTTCGTCTTGACTGGCTTGTGCTCGGAGTTGCGTGCGACTACTTCGAGGACTGGAAGCGAGGGGTCTCACCAGACTGCTTTTGTACTGCTGCTTTGACGCTCGCTTCTGCTTCCCAACACTGAAATGTAGGTCCATCTCATTGGCCACTCCAGGTAGGAGTTCTCGTGTGGCTCTACTAATCTTCTGGAGTAAGGTCTCCGACGATCCTGTGGCGTCTGCAGGTATGTACTGTGACGATACTCGAGGCCGCTCCAAGGCAGGATTCCGTTGAGGAACCAGCGTTTGACTCGGTTGATCCGTGACGGTCACAGTAGCTTGGGCCTCTTTGTTACGCCGTAGCGAGCGCATGTACTCATCGTGCTCGTATTTTCGCCCTATTCTGGCTAAAAGGTCTTCATAAGCGATCACCTGCATGTCAAACTCGCGTCGTAGTGTTGCCAAAGCCACTTCCACTTGAAACGCGCGGTTTGCACGTAACACGTGGTCGATTCGGACTTGGTCCAACGTGAACTGCACAGCTTGTTTCCCCGCACGAGCTTCGAATAGCGATAGCGTCGTCATCTCCAGATCAGACTGTAACATTCCTTTGTGGCATTCGAGCTGCATGATCACACGTGTCTGTTGTCTCGTGGTTGTCGTCAGCTGAGAGATCTGTCGGTTCTGTTCCACCACAACACTCTCCAGATTCGTGATCAGATCCGCCTTGAGCGCTATATCACGCTGCAGTTTGTTCACAAGGTGGTCCAGCTTGCTCTTTCGGAACCGACTCATGCGGACGATCTCCCGCTGTGCAACTTCTGACGCTTCCTTGGCTTCTTCTTCGTCTTCGTCTTCGCAGCCTTCGATACTGATGATACCTTGTCGACGGGCTTCAGCTCGTTTTTGTCGACTCGTTTCTTCTTCTTCAGCGACGTCTTCTTGAACCTCAAGCTCGATATCCACCGGTTTGTCATCGTCACACAGCACGTAGTCGAGATTCAACTCTTGTCCAAACGTATCCTGAACCATAAGTAATAGCTCTCGTATCGCCTCATCCAGTGGAAATTCATCCAGCTTGACAAGTGCCAACATGTTCTGCAGTGACAGGATGAACCGAGTGACCGCGTTCTTTGAGGTCGAATTGGCAATGCTGAGCTCGTTTTGGTTGCGTTGCAGGTCTTCCCTTTCGGTCTGGAGCTCCACCACGTGCAGTTGGGACTCCTTAATGCGAGTCTTGAGGACTGTGGCTTCTTTCTCCGATTCCGATATTGTTCTCGTGAGGTGTTCGATCTGAGAGACGTTGTCTTTGTTCACGTACGTAATCTCGCGCAGTTGAGCGTTGGCTACTTTGACTTCCACCTCCAGTTTTGTGATCTGCTCTTTTGCTGCTGCCTCGTACATCTTAGATCGTTCCTTCAACGACGCCACACTGCGTGTAAGCAACATATCTATTAGACTAACGTTGAATAGCAGTGTTGACGTCCAATACTTACTTCTTTTTGGCTTTTTCGAAATTTCTCTCCATTTGCAGTCGCAGCTGTTCACATGTGCGTTCTGAGTGCAAGAACGCTTGCTGTCCCGCTGAATACACGCGTTTGTTGTGCTGAATTTCGTTGTCTAAAGCTTCCAACGACGTTCGCAGATTCCGGATCTGCTCTTCGTCCTTCTTTTTATCAGCCTTTGTAGCCTCCACAAGTGTTTCCAGCTCCATCTTTTGATTCAGTAGCCGCTCAATGCGTAACTTGTCTTGTGCACGCATACCGGTATTCTGCTTTTCCGCAGTCAACAAGTTGCATATTGCTTCCAAAACTCCGATTTTAACTCGCCCCTCGTCAATTTGAGCCACCAATCGGACGATTTCCTGTTGGTGCTTGCCACTATTCTCCACTTCAATGTCGAACTGCTCCTTCATCGTCTCTAGGCGCACTTCTAGGTGGCTTTGCTTGCGCTGGCTTTCAATCAGCTCCTTGTCAACCTGCGCTTTGAGTTCTTGAAGACGACTAATCTCTTCTTGAAACTTCTCCACTTGCTCCTGTAAGCTCTGCTTTTCGACAAGTACTTTGTTCTTTTCCATCCCCAAAACAACTAAATCTTGCTTCAGTTGGTCGTTATTGGCTCGTAGAGCTTGGTTCATGAACAATGTTTCGTGCATCCTTTTGGCGTAGTTCGCTTTCTCCGCTTCCACTCGCTCCAACTGAGTCGACAGCTTCCGGATCTCCTCATCCAGCGCATAACGCTCCGATAGAGCGTTCAGTCGCTCGGAATTGGCTACTTCGTAGTCTCTACGTGCATCGTCCAGAAGCTCGTTGAGTTTTTTCTCCTCGTCTTCAAGAACTAGAACTTCTAGTTTGAGTAAACGACTCTGCTCCTCCTGAGCTGCAATTTGGTGCTGTTGTTCGGCCATCTTGAGGTTCGATTCTGTGGTCTCAGTAACAAGTTTAAGAATGAGTTCACTCTTCTCTGTTCCACGAGCAGTCTCTTTTTTCAATGCAGTCTCCGTTATGTGTAGCTGAGCATTCAAGTCTTGTTTGTCCTGTTGGAACCCGTCTCGAAGCTGCGTTTGGGTACTTTCTGCCGCTTGTTTAAAGTTGAGCATTGCCATCTCGTACTTGCCGTTCTCACATTGCTCAAGGAGTAGCAGAAACGTCAACCAGGCGTTGGAAGACACGTGCTTTTCAAAGCGTGGGGGACAATGAGCTGCGATCTCGTTGATGATATTGTGAAAGCCATTCGTGTACACGTAAAGCGCTCGATAAAGGCGATCCACCAGGTCTTTCGGCATACCCATGCGATATAGTGAATAGCGATCCATTCCAGCTCGACCAAGAGGGCCTCCATCTCCCCCCTTGCGAAAGGAAAAGGCTTCTGGGTCGACGTCCAATTCGTTATCAATTATTGGGCTTTTTCCAATGTTACTAACTGGAAGGAGGAACGCTCCACAAGTTTCCAGATGCAGATTCACCCACTCTTCGGTGATAACGGAATCGTATAGAGCTGGTGTCATGCCTCCTTTGGATGTTGGACTCGAGGAAAGTGTCGAGGCAGTAATTGTCGGTGGTTGGTCCCTTTCTGGTGGTCCACTAGAAGATCTTGGACTATTCCCTTGTGTTTTAGCATCCCACGCTCTACTTGCCATTGCCGCGAGTATTTCTCGGTTGATTCGTGTTATCTCGCTCTCGGCTGGAGGAATTACGATCGCTAAGCGTGCACTAATAGCTGCTAGAGTAGAGGTGGGATCTGTGGGCGACCACGTAACGATCAGTCATATAAACGTAGGATATCCAAATGAAGCCATGGTACCGATGTTGAGTAAATTGGCATGCTGCTTTGAAGGAGATCGCTTTGGACTGAGAGGGCTTATTTCACTCTTATCACGACCGGTTGGTGACGTTGCTAGTGGAGAGATTGTCAAGGACAGTTCTCCGAGCTCAGTATCGTTATCTACCTCGCTGTTCGAGGCTTCACGGACCTCCATGCCAGTGCAGGTTTACAAAGTGTTAGTCTATTTGCAATACGGTAAGTCTCGATGGTTTCAAGAATCGAATTTGCAAGTGTCACTAGACTTTTACAAATTTTGTGAAGCTGTTTTAGTTTGCTTTTTACTGCCAGGGCGATACATTCTTAACTAGTCTCGCCACTTTATACGCCTACCTCCTATAATTAGTAACAACTGCCCATACGCCGATAGGGAACATGACGAGGGTCGCGAGAATGAAGAACTTGTCTCTCTTGGAGCTGTTGTTGTACATATGCATGAACCAGTCGCGGACCTTGCTGGAGCCCTTCTGGCTTAACGCAGCCTTCTCCAAGTTCTTGACCATGGCGGGATTCTTCTGCAGACTCTCGACTTTCTGGCTGATGCCAGGCCTGCTAAAAAGACTCTTGATCTTGTCCACAAAGGCGTAGGCTCTCTCTTCACCGCTCGCCCTGAGGTTGCGGCTTGTGATATCATCGCTTATGGGGACGTTGATGGAGTCGGGATTCCGGTTATTCATGACGACGGTGCTCTCGGCGCTGGTGAGCCCATTGAAGCACACGATCACACTGACGACGAGCAGGGCGAAAACGAAGCCTACACGCATTGGCGAGATTGAAAGTTGAGAGTTCTGATAGATTGCTTGCCGATTGTCAAATGAAGCTACGACTGGAGTGGAAATTTGATTGGGGCGCCCAGCTTGGCAAGCTGTTCTGCAACCAGCCAGTCGAAAATGTCCGATCTGTAGCAGATAACAGATCATTCATTTATCCTGTTGCTCATAGGGTTTGGCAGTGTAAGTGATGTGCTTGTCCGGCTTGTTGTGCTGGGTGGCACTGCCACGGGTTTATGTTTTACGTAGGATGTACACCTGGAGAAATGTTCATCTCGGGAAAAAAATACACTACATGTATTAAATACCAGTTACGGTACTCGAAATACACAACGTTTCTGGTCTTCCTACAACAATGTACATGTAGTACGCGTGATGCACGGTGCATCACCAAATAGGAAACACCTGCGCAAATTATTATCTCCATGTACGTATGCTTTACATGTAACGTATTTTTAGGAATACAGAAGCGCGAGAAAATTCAATCCCAGTATCCTAGGAAGTAAATCATACTTAGTTCTTCGAGTCCTTGTTTCCGGTGTTACATGCCAGGATCTAGAATAATCGCTCTGCTGGTTTTGCAATTCGTTAATCGCATAGTACTGTACATTTTCACTGCTTTTATTATTGAAGTGAAGCGCAAGTTTCTTCGATCTTCGTGCGGTTGTTGTTTGTCATTACAGTGTACCGTGATATGAGAATGGCTGTAAAGCTAGTTTAAATTTTAGACCTCAAACACGCAGCTCATAGAAAACAAGAGAAACACGCTCTCCACTATTGTTGTTTTAATCAGCGCTCTATCTAAAATTTTGCCAAGTTTCTTTTACTAAGCTGTATTTCTCACTTTGAGCCACTTTTTGATAAGGCCAACGATAGAGGCACCAAACAAGAACTCCAGGTTCATTTGATAATGATTGGATGCCTACGATAAAAAGACGGTAAAAGTATTTATGAGCACCAATCAGTTAACCTTAATTCCTTTTTTTGGTCTTAGCCTTCAATTTTGATTTGATGAGGCCCTTTAATTCGGAGCTAATAAAATACGGTAACAACTTTTTAACGCCAAAAACACGATGAAGAAATGGCCTCAGTTCGATTTTTTTTTATCAAGTGAGATGCGCAATAGTTGAGCCAAAAAAAGCAAAAGAATTACTTCCCCAATCGACAGTCGAGTTTTGTTAAAGTGTACTGTGCCTCATATGATGCATACGCGTGACGCTATGTCATTGGGGGGCACCACACCATGTGGCAGGCATACCTGATACAGTACCGGTACATAACCCGCCATTTGCAACCGAGGTTGTATTTTTTATCTGTATCACATTCTTATTGGCGGATCAGGTGCTGTAGTCACAGTTCCAGCTCCCGCGACAGCGATACGTCTGCAAAAAAACCTGTATCACTTGCAAAAATAGTTGCACTGGGGTTTGTATTTTCACTGGCTCTTGCAACTTGCGCATACAAAAAATCAAGTGGTGGCTCTCAAGTCGGTAGCAAAAAAATCCCACCACCCTCACAATTAAAGAAACATCGAAGCAAGCAAGATGCAGACAAAGCGATACAAGTCTATTCTCATCGAGTTTATGGCGTTTAAAGCAGGACATCCCTTCAGCACAGATACTGTTTTCAGCAAGAGCGACTTACTGGAGGTCACCACCGACGATGTGTGCCGCTGGATGAATATGCGTGCATTGGGGAAGAGACGCCTACGGAGGACGCCAAGCCAGTGAACGCCAGGGCGTCCACCTTAGAGTACGCTAAGAAGGCACTCTCGTCCTTCATGCCACGACGCACTGTACCATGGGACCCCATTCGCAATAAGGGCAACCCAACCCGCTCTGAATCAGTTAATGCAGTGATAAAGAAGGTGAGACGCAGTGAAGTTCGGCGAGAAGGCGTGCCGTCAGCAGCTAGACGCCCGGTTGAATATGAAGAATATGTCAGCCTACTCAAGCTGTCCCGCTCAGCATCCGACAAAAGCGCGCTAAAATATTTAGTTTCGGCTGTTCTTTCTGTGCAATGCATCTCATTGCACGCATCGATGATATGATGAAACTAAAGTTTGACAGTTTTTCTTGCAACATTCAGCACCCGGGAACCCTCCTCTGCCAGTTACGCTGGTCTAAGAACATATCTGAAGAGCGCGACGCACCGGAGCAAATCGTACTCGGAAGCATGGATCCTCGCGTTTGCGCTCTACATAATTTAGCGGTGCATGTGGAAATAGCGGGTAAAGCGTCACTTTCATCATACGTATTCGGCAACCCCAAGGATGGTGATCGGGTTGTCCGCCGCTTTCTGCAGGACATTTTTGAAGGGCCCGACTTTCACAAGCTGAAGCCGGGAAATTTAGGCACGCATAGTCTGAGAAAAGGTGCTGCTGCGTATGGCAGCAGGAGTGGTCTGCCCAAGGACTACGTCAACCGGCGTGGAAGGTGGCGTACACGGAAGAGCGTTGTCGACGTGTATATCGACAACACCCAACCGTATCCGGATGGTGTTGCTGCTGGGGCACTGACTGGCCCGCTTGGGCCATGCTGTTACGTACTTAAAAAGGGTATTCATGCCGTTACGAAGACGTAACTGGTCAAGCAAGTCGGACCCGCAATTAAGGAAGCGATGGGGGAGGAAGTTGTGAAGGTGCTCGCTCTGCCACTACTTTGGGCATCTCTCGTCCCGGATGGAAGTTTTGATTACGACCTTCTTCCGAGTGCGCTCAAGCAACGCATTGTACGAGCCTACATCAACGCTGGAGGAAACGTTGCTGTGAAATCCCGTTGAGCGTGTGCCCTTACACGTTACCGGTGACGGTGCACAGCTTCGGCTTGTTGAGATTCGTGATACCCCCACCGATGGCAACGAGTCTGAGCAAACGCATGGGACTCAGAGCAACATGTCTGCGGACAGCACCCGTAAAGAGTTCGTTGCACTCCATTCGCAGCTATTTAGCCTGCAACGCCAAGTTGCTGGCTTGTTGAGCGAGGTCCTCCGCTCGCGTACCGAAAGCCAGCGAAACCATCAAAAGGGATTGGCTGTATTACGGCGTATTGCGCTACAGCCTGTTGCGAGGAGAGTGTTGCCCGATTCGATCGTGACCACCAAAGCATGCACAGATGGCAGTGCTGCGTACGAAGCTCACCACGCGATACTGTCGAAAAGACCGAAGGATCTGTACGAGTTATGGGGGGAGTACGAGTTCGGCTTGAACGGCTTAAAGCCAGCGAAAGAGTTTACAGGTGCCGAGCGAGGAGCCAACAAGTTTGCCTACTCGCGCCGCAAAGTGTTTTGGGGTGTAGTCTCTGGGTTTGTTCGCGCGGGATTCACCAGTGATGTTGCTATCGACAACGTATACGCGGCATACGGTCGACAGCTTCCTGTGACTAAAGTTCTAGTCGCTCTTCGCCGAGACAAGCAACAAGGTGGTCATTTGTCACTTCGATTGTAGCTCTTAGTAAATCAGATTCAGTAAAACATATTTTCCACCAATCACATCATGGTTGCACTCTCTGTTGCACGCTTGGCGGGTATTTATACAGTATTTCATATCAGGTACTGTACAATACTTTGATTTCTAATTTTTGCATGCGCAGTGCGTCCTCAAACTCAGTGCCGGTACGTATATTTTAACATTGTGGCAGTAAGAAATCTACAGCAACCAAACTAGTCATTTTACTACTACATTATACAAAAAATGAAAATTAGACTATCAGTAATAGTCGGATTCTAAAAAAGAAGAAAGATCTACGGACTAGTTAACCCCTTGGGACCCGTGGCCTGGACCGTACATGCTACGTGGAAAAACTTAACGTGGACCGTACAAGTTAGATAATATTGTACTTAGTTTTTATATCCGCAAAATACAAACTTCATGTCAACAAGGGGTAGGTAATTATCCACACTTCCTGCAGAATCGACATAAATATGCGCTTTAGAAAGGCCAAATTTTCAAAAGAAAGTACACAACAGATCAAACTTGCAAATTTCATATGTATTACGAAAGGAAAAGACTGGTCGCCACTCAATTTTCTCTCATTTGAAGATTCGCCGCGAAGCACGCAGAGCTCACGCCGTCGCCGGTAATGGCGTTCCAGGCGAGGTGGCGGGAGCTCAAGAAAGCTGGCTGGCACTCGAAGAAACCGGCAGGCCTGTCGGTGGACTTCACTTATCTGAAGCCGAGCAAGACGAAGAAGGATATCCGGGGCGAGGACTATTTCGTCGGAGAGGAGGTGTTAATGACGTACCTGGACAAATTGGACATTGGTAGGCAAATGCAAGTGGTGTACATTTTTGATTTATTCTAACTCTGATGTGAGATTAGCCGCACTAGAGGCAAAGAAGACAGCGAGGCGAGAAGGGTCTGCGAATGCACAGAGAGCTGCAGAGAAGCGCGCAGCAGAAGCCATGACGACCACAAACGACGGTATCTATCATGTATTCGACAAGTTTTGAGATTAACTAATCGTGTATGTTGGTATTATCATGTATAACAGCAGTACTGCGAACACCGCCACCAGAGGTGCAGGCACCACAAGAAGCGTCTGCAGTAGTTCTGGCATCGCCACACATGACCATTTCTGATGCCACGCTGGTTCGTGCACGTCATGTTGCTGCTTGCCTTTGGTTCTGCTGGCCTAACTGTGAATATACTGTTGTAGATCAGTCACCTGAAAGGCAACGTAACCTTGCATCGGAGTTTGACGATATAGACAGCGGTAGTGAGCCATCGCATGACGCAGCAGAAGATGCCCAGGACTCAGAAGGTGATGATTTCACACCTGCAGTAAGCGCGGATGAGGAGTCAAACGGAGGCTCAGGAATTTGTGATGTTTCTACTGGAGGTTGGTCAAAGCTGTACATACACGTTTGAAAATTTATATAACTTGTATATTCAATGCTAGGTGTTCTTGCAGACGCTTATCTCGTCGAAGCTTCCGACGACCCCCGGAAGTTTGTGACCTTCGATTCTGATGCTGAAAAACGACGATGGAGATGAT